CTCCAGCAGTTCCCTGTCCCTCTTGAACTGGGGAGCCCAAAACTGGACACAGTATTCCAGTTGTGGCCTCACCAGTGCCGAGTAGAGGGGGAGAATGACCTCCCTCCACCTACTGGTCGCACTCTTCCCTACGCAGCCCAGGATTCCATTGGCCTTTTTGGCAGCAAGGGCGCACTGCTGGCTCATGGACAATTTACTGTCTACCAGGACCCCCAAATCCTTCTCCTCAGAGCTACTTCCCAGCAGGTCCACTCCTAACCTATACTGGCACCTGGCAGCGCTTCCCAACTGAGATGTTTCTGGGGGAAACTGCAGAGGTTTTGATCTATGGCAGAGAGACTTCTCAAGCTAGATTCTTTGACCTCATCGGCAGCACTTCTAGCGGGGCGAGCAGCTCGCTCCGTGGTCTGTCTTTTCACGCTTATGTTGTGCATCACCTTTCAGTTCCCTGCACCCCCCCTCGTCTGGTCTGTATCATTGTTCTTTGCAATAGTGTGAGTGACGGTTGTGGGTGTCCTACCGTATTGCGAAAGTTAAATTGGGATCCGGCACAACTTTGAGGTAGCGGCAGTTTAAAATGTATTAATAAAGGATTAGGTTGTATGATTTCTAACAATACTTAATCATCAGCCGATTGTTATTAGTGGTTTAATAAAATTTACTATAATCAACCCAGCGGCTTAGTTAAAGATTGGAAAATGGCAAAGTTCACACGAGATGGGACAGAGTTTCCTAAATCAAATCACACGCACACAAACACGCACACACAGATATGGAGGTTAACCTATATAATTAAGATGTTTCTCTTTTTGTAAAAAGTAGTAAGTTATTGCTACCAAAAGCTCTTTGAAACCTCGAGAAATCCAATAGCAGTGAATTACTCACTCTTCTCCTTCGTCAGCACTTGTCAGCAGATGATCTATGAAATCCTTGTGAAATCTGCGCTTTAACATCCTCGCGAAATCGGCCCTGAGAGGTGTCCCATCGCAGGGGGAGATGTGGGGTCACGGCCTGCTGCTATCCCGGAGAGCTCACAGCGTCTCACTTAGCACCATGAGATAGTTGACTTTGGTCAGTATTTTTTCAATTTTGGCCACAATTCTTGTCAGGTAAGACCTGACAGAGCGGGCTACGATGCGGGCAGCAGGAGGTTCAGGTACGGTGAGGGGGTGTCTGATCGTCCGAACTCCCTGTGCTTGTAACCAGGACAAGAAAGGACCCGACCGTCCCAACTCACCGCACTTGCAACCATGATAAAGAAGGTCCAGATCGTCCCAGCGCACTGCGCTGGTAACCAAGATGAGAACACAACGTTGGCTGGTCCTGACATCGCAGTGTGGCCCCGGGTGGGGGTCTGTACCACCACACACCACCCTGAACCAGAACAAATCCCAGTACTCTCCCCAGCTGTTCTTGGGGAGGTCCATTTCAGCAGCCTTTGAAGCGGGTGGATTACTGGAAAGACAACTGAGAAAGAAGGTTCAGACCTCAAATTCTTGTTTGATCCTTCTCAGCGTGGTCTGTGTAAGCAGCCCTGACTCTCTGGACGTGTTTTCTGATCTGAAGTAATCCTGCGATTGCATCTTCTGCTGCTTACTGTAACTCCTTCTGCCTCCGGCGTAGGACAGACAGGATGGTGACATGGATTAGAAGTGGCTTCTGCATGTCACTTCGTAGACCAGAGCTTGTTCCTCCCTTCATCGCTACTTTCTTTTGCATCGTGGGTTGAGTTACTAGCTTCTTAAGCTTTGGCCATCTAAAACTCACAAACTGTTAGAGGAGACTCAGAGCACTTGTCTCTGCTGCGGCAGAACCCAAACACGTCATCAGAGACGCAGTGCTGCTACGTGCGTGCGCAAAAGTCTCTGCCTTTATCTGTTTGTGGGTTATGGGTAACCACCTTAAAACTCTCATTTTCTGCAGTGGCCCAATATTGTTTGTTTGTTATTGCCAGGCAGCCTGAAACAATCCAGGAAATGCAGCAAACACCACGGTCTTGGTTTCCGTCCTGTCCAGTATCCCATGTCCGACAATAGTTAGAAGCAGCTGCAAGATTTGTTTGGTTGATAACTGTAGTATGTGGTGTTTAGTAAACTTACTGAGAGGCTGTTGATGCCGAGGAGGACTATGATTGATGAATCTTGTTACTTAGCATTTATAGCTAATGTAATTGACTTCTGAGAACAAGGGTAGGTGTGAAGATATTGGATGTTGTTAGACTAGGAGACCTCTTGAGGTCCCTTCCAGTCAACGTTTCTATGACTGTGGTGTTTCTAGAAAGGGATTTTCTTTCCTTCTCTAATTCTTTGTTACTTGGGCCCTACGGATAGGTTGCCTGCTCCTTTTTTTTTCCAGTACGAGTGGCACAAAGGCTTTCCCTGTCGGTGTAGAGACCTGTCACTGACGTCCTGACAAAACACACTGTACAGCAGATGTGTGTGACAGCAGGGACAGGACTTCAGTTGGAAGTCCCCTTATGTTTCTCCTTCTCTGGACCCGACTCATAAACACTGTCGTGTCTGCCGGCAAGCTGCTTTATAGCGACTTCCTCGCGATGCTAGCGTTCGCGTGCCTAAGATGAACTGTTATCTTGGGAAACAAAGAACATCCATGTTGTATCCTGCAAGGGAGGGAGAAGAGCAGCGGGATAATAGAGATGTTCAATGAACCATGAAGCCTTTCTTCTTTCACCCTTCACTCTTGTAGACCTTAATAGGGGTTCTCATCTGTGCAGCGACTGCACTTTGAGGTCCTCACCAGGATGGAGGTTATGAGAGAAGGCAGTTGTCTCCAGGGGTGGATGCTCAGGTTTGCCCTGAGGTGAGAAGAGAGGTTTCCCACAGAGCTGCTGCTGACCCAGTTTTGTTCTCTCCTGTTGTAGCCTTTCTTCAGGCTTCTGAACCTGCGCAAGCTGGGTCTGAGCGACAATGAAATCCAGAGACTTCCCCCTGAGGTTGCCAACTTCATGCAGCTGGTGGAACTGGACATCTCCCGTAACGGTAAGGTCAAAGCTAACTGGGGAGCGGGTGCCCCACAGCCCTGCTTCTCTCAGTGTAGTAGCGCTACCCTGTGCGCTCCTGATCTGGGGGAGGCAGTACCCTTTCACAGTCACACAGAATCTCCTAGATTGGAAAAGACGTGTAAGATCACTCAGTCCAGTCATTAATCAACTGCCAAGCCCACCGCTAAACCGTGTCTCTAAGCGCTATATCTACATGACCCTTAAATACCTCCAGGGACGGGGACTCCACCACTGCCCTGGGTAACGCGTTCCAATGCCTGATGACCCTTTCAGCAAAGAAATTCTTCCTAAAGTCCAATCTAAACTTCCCTTGGCGCAACTTGAAGCCATTTCCTCTTGTTCTGTCACCTGTTACTTGACAGAACAGGTCAATTCCCACCTCCTTGCAACCTCCTTTCAGATAGTCGTAGAGAAGGTCTCCCCTCAGCCTCCTTTTCTCCAGGCTGAACATCCCCAGTTCCCTCAGCTGCTCCTCATCAGACGTGTGCTCCAGACCCCTCACCAGCTCTGTTGCCCTTCTTTGAATCATAGAATGGTTTAGGTTGGAAAGGACCTTGAAGATCATCGAGTTCCAACCCCCCTGCCATGGGCAGGGACACCTCCCACCAGCCCAGGTTGCCCAAGGCCACCTCCAGCCTGGCCTTGAACACCTCCAGGGATGGGGCCTCAACAACCTCTCTGGACACCCTGTCCCAGTGCCTCGCCGCCCTCACAGGGAAAAACTTCTTCCTCATGTTTAATCCAAACCCGCCCTCTTCCAGTTTAGAGCCATTCCCCCTCGTCCTGTCCCTCCATGCCCCAGTAAAAAGTCCCTCCCCAGCTCTCCTGGAGCCCCTTTAGGCACTGGAAGGCGGCAATAAGGTCTCCCCGGAGCCTTCTCTTCTTCAGGCTGAACAGCCCCAGCTCTCTCAGCCTCTCCTCATAGGAGAGGTGCTCCAGCCCTCGGATCATCCCGGTGGCTCTCCTCTGGACACGCTCCAGCACCTCAATGTCCTTTTTGTGGTGAGGGGCCCAAAACTGAACACAGACCTCAAGATGGGGCCTCACCAGTGCCGAGTACAGGGGTAAAATCACCTCCCTGGTCCTACTGGTACAGGCCAGGATGCCACTGGTCTTCTTGGCCACCTGGGCACAGTGCTGGCTCATATCCAGCTGGCTGTCCACCAACACCCCCAGGTCCCTCTCTGCTGAGCAGCTTTCCAGCCACTCCTCCCCCAGCCTGTAGCGTTGGTGGGGGTTGTTGTGGCCAAAGTGTAAGACCCGGCATTTGGCCTTAGTGAAACTCATACGGTTTGCCTTGGCCCGTCGATCTCGTCTGTCTACATCCTTCTGCAGAACCTCCTTCCCCTCAGGCAGATCAACACTTCCACCCAGCTTGGTGTCAACTGCAAATTTACTGAGGGTGTACTCGATCCCCTCATCCAGGTTATTGATAAAGATGTTAAACAGGACTGGCCCCAGTACTGAGCCCTGGAGGACACCACTCGTGGCCAGCTACACCAACTGGAGTTAACTCCATTCGCCACCAGTCCTGCCGAGTGATCTCTCACGGGTCCTGAGCTATGAAAATATGGTTGTGTAACGGTGTCTTAGGCTGTCACCAGTACCTGGTGACCGGTTTTCCATGTGACGGGCTCTTCTTGAGCTGCTTTTTTTCTTTCGTGTATTTTTTTTTCCAGACATTCCAGAAATTCCCGAGAGCATCAAATTCTGCAAATCCTTGGAAATCGCGGACTTCAGTGGGAATCCTCTCTCCAGGTAGGAAGGCGTGTGCAACCCTTTCGTCCAGCTGAGAATAAGGGTTGAAGTTCCTCATTCTCCCTAGCTTTCTCTGGTCTTCATCTTGTAACTCTCTCCCCTGGAGGTCAAGGCCTAGGATCACCCTGCCTTTGCCAAGACCTGCAGACGTCTGCTCTCCCGACAGGTGGAACACTCAGCGTAGGGAAGAGCTCCCTCTTCTGCGGGGCCTATGGCTTGGACTGATGAGCCTTTAGTCGTACTGTTGCCACTGGTGTGAATGGTGAGGACTTTTGTCCTCTTGGAGTAAGTTTGTTACTCCATCCCCGACCCTCCACCCTGCCGCACAGACCAGGATGTGGACTGGTTGTACTACAGAGGGGTAGAGAAAGGCCTGTCTGCTGTCCTCTGCTCTGTCAGGCCTTTTTGCTCTCTGTCATCTTATTTATAACGCAGGATGGCCATCCTCTGAACTCTGGGTTTGTTGGGTTTCCCTGGTATCTCAGTCCCCAGAGCTGTGTCCAAGAACAGGGCTCTCCGCCTTGTCTCTTCAGTCTTCTGTCCCTACAGCTCTTAATCCATCATGTTTTTGGGAACTCGAGTGTGGCTCCTCTGCCTCGGTGAACCGTGCTCCCAGGCACTGGTGTCTTGATGCATCGTCTGCCAGGATCCCTGTGGTCCCCGGCGTGACTCCAGATGCCGGTTGCCCTTTGTGCTCCTGGGCAAGCGCTGCCCATGTCACCCTTTAAATAGATTTAACTCTCTGCTTCCCTCTTGTGGTGCCAGACACTGCCGGACATTAAGTACACTGCCATTAAGTACAAATACTTAACGGGAGGATGCCAGGGGGATGGGAGCAGTCTTTTTTCAGTGGTGCCCAGTGACAGGACAAGAGGGAACGGGCACAAACTTGAACAGAGGAAGTTCCATCTTAACGTGAGAAGGAACTTCTTTACTTTGAGGGTAGTGGAGCACTGGCACAGGCTGCCCAGAGAGGTGGGGGAGTCTCCCACTCTGGAGACATTCCAAACCCGCCTGGACGCTGTCCTGTGCAACGTGCTGTAGGTGACCCTGCTCTGGCAGGAGGGTTGGACTAGATGATCTCCAGAGGTCCCTTCCAACCCTAACAATTCTGTGAATTCTGTGAATTCTGTGAATGGGACAAGCTCTTCAGTCCTGAGAGTCCCTGTACCACAGGAATGACCAGCGCTCCTACACTAGAAGTTCTCAGAGTCTTTTTGTGGCCCACAGTTGTAATAAGCGTGTTGTGAGCAGTGGGGCAGGGAAGCTCCAGGAACTGCCTGTGAACAGCAAAGGATTCCTCCTTTTCGCCGGTGTTGCCATGTTTTGTTGCACCTTGGAGCTGTTAGGATGATACTGTTTGGTCCCCGGGGAACGCTGCAGCGTCATCTGCGTAAATATCCTTAGACGGGCGTTTGGATTACTCGGTAGCCCTCCCTGCTTCCAAGTTTAAATGATCACATGGCATAATTTAGTCTGGGATTCGTGCTTGAGTACTGCAGAGCCAAGTTAGCGCACTTGGACATGTAGCGAGGTTGGGGCAGGGGAGTATTGTCTTGGAAACGGGGCATATCCTGGATCAGGAGCCAGGGGCAGACTTGGTTCCCGCTCCTCTTCTTTCCACATGTTGATACCAGTTGGGATGAGACTGGCTTTTGGGGCATTTAAGTGAGGAATCGAGGGCTTGTTTTGTGCACAGAATTAATGGGTTTTTGTTCTGTCATGCTGTTACAGGCTTCCGGAGGGCTTCACACAACTTCGGAGCCTGGGCCATTTGGCCTTGAATGATGTGTCCCTGCAGAGCCTCCCCAATGACATTGGGAAGTGAGTATGCCCCCGCTCCTCGTAGCGGGGAGGAGGGTTGGGACGGGGACCCCATGCTATTGGGGCGGCAGCGCTAGCAGGACTTGGAAGGGGGGAAGAGCATGCCATCCCAGTTACAGCTTGCCACTGTACCGAACGTGCCGTGTGAGCACCTCTAAGCATTATTCTTGTTAAAAGACAACCTTTTTAAAAAGGTTCTTTTCCCGGTCTGCGCTGCTTCTCCTCCTTTGTGGTCTCCGGCACAGCCAAGGAGTGCTTCTCAAATCCTTCTGTCTTATGTTATGAGTGCCCATTTGCCCCTTTCCAAACAGGTGTGGTCTATCCGATGATGCTGAAATGACTTACGCTGCTAGCAAAGGGCCAAGGCAATGCCCGTGGGGCTTCGCCTGTGGGGTGCAGTGCCCCTCCCGTGGGATTTGGCTTTCTGCATGTGGGGGATTTTATCTTTTTGGGCAGACAGTCCTGTATGTGATACCACGTTCCCTTGTCCTGAGTTTGGGCACAGCGTTGTTTCCCCGTGATTTTGCAATAAGCAGTCCACCTTCACCAGAATTCATTTACGATCCTCTTTGTTTTTTGTTTTCCCCTGTCATCTCCATTCACGCGTCCACACTCACCCGTACGTATTTGTGCAGGCCATGAGGGGTGGTCCCGAGGGAAGGGCTATGAGCATCTCCGTGTATCCCTGAAGCCCTATTCAGTGAATCTGGCTTTCTCGCTCCCTTTTCTCTTGCAGTTTGGCAAACCTGGTGACTTTGGAGCTACGTGAGAACCTGCTAAAGACTCTCCCCACGTGAGTGTCTGTCTGGTGGCTTCAGGAGTCTCCTGCCTGATCGCTCTTACCGATTCCTCAGGGACTTACTGTTTCTGTAGTACAGGCTCTAGCTCTTTGCTTGGGAGGGCTCAAGGCTTTGCATAAATTGGCTGCATCTTGCTGGATTTCTGTAAATTGCGGCGAGGAGGGAGAAAGATGGTTCAGGGCTTAAGAGCAGGCAAGGATGTTCTGGGTCTGTACTCAGCCTCTGCGTCAGGACTGATTTGGAATGGACAGGGTTCCACAAGAAAGCCGCTGGAAATGGTGCGAACCTTTTTTCCTGGAGAGGTGGAGCAGATGATGGATTGTTTTGGAAAAAGAGAGAAAAACATGCTGATGTGGGTATAGGAAGAACTCTGCATGCAGTGCAGTTCATAATTTGAAGAGCAGCAGAATATGGCTGAAGATATATTTTGCTTCTGACATCTCTGTTTTCTTGGGTATCCCTTCTGATTGTTCTGGTTGAGCAGTTTGTGGGAATAGGTGGGATAACTGGCTTTCCTGCAGCAGACAAAAAATAAGCCAGCAAGGGAGAAGAGGTAAGTCTTGTTAAATGTTTTGGAGAATTAGGAGCAGAGGTGAATTCTTGGTAGAGGAGCTGGTTGGTACAGCTGATGCTACCAGGTAGAGTTGAGTTTCTACGTTAATCTCTGGTCTGGCCCATGAGAGTTGTTTGTTGAGTTTTCTAACCTACATTAGCTCTGTCAACTTGTTTTCTGCATGCTTATCTATCCAACCGACGATTCCCCCAGTCTTCCTCGAATATATGTTGGAATAGCAGTGTGTTTTCGGGCCCCACAAACTCCTCAGGGAATGGGTGAAGCATGCAACTGTTGTCATCTTTCCTCGGTGCCCTCTTAGTATTCATGGCAAGTATTCAGTTTGGCTCTCTGGACTTTCCCCCCTTGCTCCTCTGCTTTATTTAAAAAAAAAAAAAGAAAAAAAGGCGCAAAGGAGGCATCTGATGATACAATGTTCACGCAAGGCTTTGAAACTCTACGCAGTTAGGGCTTCAGTGTTGCTGCTTCTGTGATGGCCATACCTCCCTCACCGGGAGATGTTGCTTTGACTCAGGTGCATGCTCTTCCTGATGGTTATTTTGCTCTGGGACCTGCAAGTACAGGCTTTATATGACAACACTTATATCTGCTTGTAGAATTCATGTGTCATCTTTGACCCAGAGGACAAGACACTTCGAAAGTGGAGCTGAAAGAGTCTGCACTGGTCAGCTCTGAGGCTTCACATCTGGTGATTACACAATGTAGAAGCATAGTTCAAATTAACACTGTCACTGGACACAGAGGTCCCTTCCAACCCAGACCATTCTGTGATTTTTGTCTCTGATGCCAAAGTCACTGAATCTTTTCTGCACAGAAGTTGTCGGCATCAACACCCTGTTACGGAAAGGCGATATTAAGAGACCGGCTGAGATGGCCCCACGTGGAATATAACCCCAAGGCAGAATGTGAGAGCGAAAGCTCCTTATGCCAGGCTGAGAACAGGCAAGCAGGAGGAGTTTGGGTCCCGGTTTTGGGACCCACTGCTGTCTGTTCCGTGTGTTCTTTGTGTTCATACAGACAGGTACCACCACTGTGATACACCATATAAACGAAGAGGTGCAATAGCTACACCCAAAGTTGGGCTTTCAAACTGCAGCGAAGAAGGGTCCCAATGGCTTTTCACCATCTAGGAACCAGCAAGTATCTGGAGTTTAAGAATTCAGTCTGTGACCAAACCCATACGGTTTCTGGGGAGATCTCTCATGCCCCGTGCTCCCTTGTTTCCCTATGTTAGATTTGTATGCCATCCAGCAAGATACTTGTAGCATGCTACGAGTTTTGGGGGGTTTTCTGTGGAAGATAAGTCCAGGCTCGATACTCATTCTGCAGTGCAAGTCCAGCTTCTTTTCATTTTTCCGCAATTCCCCAAGTTCTACTTTTGAAAGATTTCCAAAAGTAGAAAGAGGATCTTGAAGGCCAAGGCAATTTTCATCAGATCCGTCAGTCAATCATGAGATCAAAATCAATGGCCGAAGAAACTTCAGTGGTAGTGTCAGGTACTCTACCCAGGTTTGAAGCTCTCGTACTTAGTCTGGTTGCAAATTGTGCCCAAGAATGGCTCTAAACAAGTCCAAGTGATCTTGCCAAAGAGTAGAATAACTTAGGGGAATGGACGATGCTTTCGGTTTTAAAGGTTTCTGAGCCCACTAGGTAGATGGACTTCAATACAGTGAATTTGTGACTGCGTAATGCATCAGTGTCCTTTTAATTTCTGTTGTTGTTGAGCTCCTTAAAAGATCTGGCTTGCAATGACCTGTACTTGTCAAAACTTTAATTTCATTGGTTAGTCTTCTGCTATCTGCTGAGTTCTGAAACAGTTTGTCTTGTACAGCTGATTATCGCTCCTCATTTCTCCCACGCAAATGGGCCACGGTTGCCGATAATTTGGGGAGAGTAGCTCTCACTGATGTATTTTCATGCAATGCATGTTATCTTATCAGCGTGTTCTAGTATTTAAAGGGTGGCTACAAAGAAGTTGGAGAGTCCCTTTCTACAAGGAGTCACATGGAAAAAAACAAGGGGTGATGGGTGCAAGTTAATCCTGGGGACATTCTGATCGGACACGAGAGGAAAATTTTACCCAAGGAGAACAATCAGCCCTGGGGATAACCTCCCCAGGGAAGCGGTGGATTCCCCATCATTGCCCGCTTTTACAATTCAGCTGGACAGGGTGCTGCGCCGTCGTGTCCAGACTGGGCTTTTGCCAAGCAAGATTGGACCAGAGGATCCTTGAGGTCCCTTCCAACCTGGTATTCTATGATTCCATGAATAGTGGAGGGTGATCTATACTGAGGCATTTTGCCAGACCTCGTATACCAACATGGATTCCACAGCTCACTTGTCCCTGTTTTGGGAATTCAAACTGTGAAGGTGTGGAGGGACAATCAAAGCCGCTTCACCCTTCAGAGAAGTCAAAGTACAAATGTACAGTCATAATGAGAGACTGCTATACAACAGAATCCTTTTGCTGATCCTGTTGATAAACCTTTGCTTGAGTTAATATAATGTCTCAAAATCCACTGCTTAAGGTAAGAACTTAACTTTTCCTGTGTAGCCCAAATATGTTTATAGTTTGGCCCAGGCAAGACAGATCTCTCTTACTGCTTTCTCACAGATTTGCAGCCCCGCCTTCCGTAGTTTGGATGGCAGTGAGATGTACAGCTCTCTTTCCAGAGAAATGTAGTGATTTCTGCATTAGGACAGTTCCTTATGAAGAGCATAAGATAAACTGAAGCAGGCAGGGCTGAGATGGCAGTTCTGCCCTAGGTAAAGTAAGAGACGGCAATCCCTGTTTGGGGAAGTGGGAGTGGGAGTTGATGGGGTAGGACCAAGAGCTGAAGGCGAACGAACGCCTGGGCCATGCCAGAACTGAACCCTGGTTTCATGGGTTTGCGGACTGCAGCCTTTTATGTCACCAGGTCATAACGTGTTTGGATACTCAGGGCACGTCCTTCGACCGCCAGCGTTGAGAAGCTTTGGTTCCCGTGCCGGCTTCTCGCAGTATCTTGCCTAGCGAGCTTCTCATCTGTACGTCTTGACCTCTTCTGAGACATCGTGCAGTGTTGTCTTTCCCTTTCTCTTAAGCAGCATGGGCTTACCGTTCGGGGAAACCGAGGCTGCTGAATTTGTCATTTCTCCCTCTCCCTGCAGCTGTGTTCCCCTTGCCCCCCAAATATGTATTGTCTTCTGCTGACTCTCTCCTGTGTCGTGATTTGGACATCAAACCAGGACATCCTGTTATCTGTTAGTCTGTGCCCAGGTCCCCATCCTTGCTACAAAAATGGGCAGCAGTGTTAAGGTGTGGCTTGTCATCTGTCCTGGTTTTGCTGAGAGTATTTTATGGTGGGAGGGGGAGAAGGCAAATTGGTGACGGAGTGGGAACTGGCCGCTTTGGGACTGCGGGTGCTACTGACCCCGATTCCCTGGTGCAGGTGGTCTGGCGCGGGGAAGGGTACCAGCTCCACTAAACGACTTGGCTCAGGGGGACTATGACAAAGGTTAGGATTGCCCCATCTGTTTTAGCAGTTATTAAAAATTATGTAATTTGAGATGTGTGTCCCAGATGCTAACCTTCCGTTTGTTCCTTCTTTTTTTTTTTTTTTTTTCCCCTCTGTAATCCCTGTATCTTGCAGTTCGCTCTCCTTCCTTGTCAAGTTAGAACAGTTGGATCTTGGTGGAAATGACCTGGAAGTACTGGTAGGTGAGGAACGGTGGGGAGGGAATATGGGTGGTTGGCAGGGGCAGAACCCCCCACCTCTGTAGAAGCAAATGGGTTTTTATCTGAAATACAAAGCAATAGACCCTCAGGTTGTTTGGGAAGATTCTGGGCTGCCCACCAGGGCCTGGTCATCGTTCCCAGCATAACGTTCTCTTCATGTGTTGGCCCTCGTGTTTTGCTTCCTACTGTCCTTATGCACAACTTGCTCCGCTCTTTCCAAGCTCTTCTGTTCTGGGATGTTCGTTCTTGCTATCGAACTGCCTAAGGGTCTTTCCTGTCCAGCCAGACTCTCTGTTTGGCATTTCCTTTCTCTTCTGTGTTGCGCTGCCCCCAGCTGTTGTTTTTCACTTCTGCTAGGCCGACTTTCTGCCTTTCTCCTTTCTGTTTTGATTTCTGTGCTGGAAGGTGCAGGACTATTCCATGTTGTTCCTGGCAGTGAAGTCAGCCAAGCATGGGATGTGTGCCCTCCGGACCGGAGTGCCTCCGTGGAGGGCTCTGAGCGTAAGCACGCTGAGAGCCAGTGCACAGTCTCGAAATTCAGCCTGTCTTGACATTCGGGGACGTCCAGTGATACTCTTTAATTTTGCAGCTACGGATTAAGCTGTTACTGAATCCTTCTCTTAAAGTTCTGGAGTGCTTTTTGGCAGAAAGCTGTCTAAATTGGGAGGCAAAGGAGCAGCTCGTGCAGCGCGCTGTGCAGAAGGCTGCAGCTCGCTTTGACAACGCTTGTCTGACACTTGAACCGCACTTCAGCGGTGCATCAACTCCGAACCCAAATGCTAATCAGTGTGTGTGTGGTGGTCGTGGAGTGATGCTATGAACGTATGTCTACCACTGCTGATGGAGCTGCTGTATCACTTTGGGTTTTCCGGTCTTATCCAAATGTTTGTTTTCATGTCTGAGAGGAGGAAGAGGAGAAAGACTCATTTCTTCCCTAAGGCCAGGATTTCCACAACCCTGTTTAGTTCTTGCCTTCTCTGCTTCCAGACAGTTCTTGCTGTTGTCTTCCATGCTTCCTGTTGGGACCTTTTGCCGCCGGTGTGCCATCCCAAACATTTCCAAACCTACGTGCTGCTGTATGGTGGCACACTGACACGTTAGTGCCATAAACCGTTTGGTGGATGGTTCTAGGAGGTGTGAAAGCAATAGCAATGTCTAGCTTTGCAGAGGTGTGGTGTGGTTCGTAGCATCTTCTCCCCTGTGGAAGGGACTGATGCTGTCACTGTCCCGCTCTGTTACAGCCAGATACTCTGGGAGCGCTACCAAACCTACGTGAGCTTTGGCTAGACCGGAACCAGCTCTCAGCCCTGCCTCCAGTAAGTACCTGTGCGGAGCCACCGATTCACCACTCTGCTCCCTTCCTCAGCTGCTCCCTCGAGCCGTAGTGTCTCCTTTCTGCTCCTAGGAGCTGGGCAATCTCCGCCGCTTGGTCTGCCTCGACGTGTCAGAGAACAAGCTGGAGCAGTTGCCCAACGAAGTCAGTGGGCTAGTAGCACTGACGGATTTGCTGCTGTCCCAGAACCTGTTGGAATGCATTCCGGATGGGATTGGTGAGTGCTGCGGGATGGGGAGCAGGGCAGGACTTCACTGCCCTGGCAGCGCTCCTGGCAGGAGCACTTCAGGCAGGAGTGTAGGTAACACTGACCTCCTGGAGAGCAGCTCTGTGGAGAGGGACCTGGGAGTCCTGGTGGACAACAGGATGACCATGAGCCAGCAATGTGCCCTGGCGGCCAAGAAGGCCAATGGCATCCTGGGGGGCATCAAGAAGAGTGTGGCCAGCAGGGCGAGGGAGGTCATCCTCCCCCTCTGCTCTGCCCTGGTGAGGCCACATCTGGACTACTGTGTCCAGTTCTGGGCTCCCCAGTTCAAGAAAGACAGGGAACTGCTGGAGAGGGTCCAGCAAAGGGCAACGAAGATGATGAGGGGACTGGAGCACCTTTCTTATGAGGAAAGGCTGAGGGACTTGGGTCTCTTTAGTCTAGAGAAAAGAAGATTGAGGGGGGATCTTATTAATACTTACAAATACTTAACGGGAGGATGCCAGGGGGATGGGAGCAGTCTTTTTTCAGTGGTGCCCAGTGATAGGACGAGGGGTAATGGGCATAAACTTGAACATAGGAAGTTCCATCTTAACATGAGAAGGAACTTCTTTACTTTGAGGGTAGTGGAGCACTGGCACAGGCTGCCCAGAGAGGTGGTGGAGTCTCCCACTCTGGAGACATTCCAAACCCGCCTGGACGCTGTCCTGTGTAACTGCTGTAGGTGACCCTGCTCTGGCAGGAGGGTTGGACTAGATGATCTCCAGAGGGCCCTTCCAACCCTGACCATTCTGTGAATTCTGTGAACAAGGGATTAGGCCTTGATGGACGTAGTCACGGTAGTTAAGTGCAGAAGCAGGTGATGCTACTGGTGAGCAGAACTCGCTGGACAAGTTCAGGTTCTTGATCTGCATCATGCATGGGTAAAACCTGTGAACAAGCCTGGTGGGGGAGGAAAGGTAGTGCCGGTATCGTTAGGGTACGTAACCCCTGGTGGGAGGCATTTGGGCCAGGTGAACACAGAACAGCATCGTTATCTCTGTGGCATAGTTCACATGTTGCTTGTTGCCCTGCCCAGGTCAGCTGAAGCAGCTCTCCATCCTCAAGGTGGACCAGAATCGTCTGACAGAGGTGACAGAGTCAATTGGGGACTGTGAAAATCTGTCAGAACTCATCTTGACAGAGAACATGCTGACGGTAAGTACACCGGCAGCCACCCTGCCTCTCCTGTGCCGTTCAGTTTAGCCACATGCCAGGGATTTTTTCCCATCTTCTGGCTTCCGAGCCAGAATCCTGAGCACGCTGCAGCTGCTCTCCCTTTAGCTGCTTTGATGCATGGTTTTTCACGTCGCTCACAGGCTCTTGAGGAGACCCTGGTGGAAGCTGTGTTCTCGCACTGTTTTGTTTTTTGTCTCTGAAAAATTCTCTAGGATAGCTGGGGTCTTATTAATACTTACAAATCCTTAAAGGGAGGGTGCCAGGGGGATGGGAACAGTCTTTTTTCAGTGGTGCCCAGTGATAGGACAAGAGGGAACGGGCACAAACTTGAACAGAGGAAGTTCCATCTTAACACGAGGAGGAACTTCTTCACTTTGAGGGTAGTGGAGCAGTGGCACAGGCTGCCTAGAGAGGTGGGGGAGTCTCCCACTCCGGAGCCATTCCAAACCCGCCTGGACGCCGTCCTGTGCAACGTGCTGTAGGTGCCCCTGCTCTGGCAGGGGGGTTGGACTAGATGATCTCCAGAGGTCCCTTCCACCCCTGACCATTCCGTGATTCTGTGGGGTGCTGGCTTTAGGGTAGCCAGTCCTGAAGCCCGTCCAATCTGATGGGAGCAGGACTACGTGAAAAGCTGCGTTTGGTGAGGGGCCACGGGGTAGTGTAATTTCAAACGGCCCTGCTCCAAACTGCTCATGGTTTGGTTGTTAAAACACAAGTTTCGGGAATGGACGGGTGGACAGGAGAAAAATCTTGACCGGTGGTGTTCTGAGTGTGCTGTGCAGAGGTGAAGAGTTATCATGGAACAGTCTGTGAACCTGAGGGAAAATCTGTCCCGAAGTTGTAGTGAGAACTTACCAAAAATGTGTCTGTTAGGACGGAAGGCGGCTTTGTCCCCCTCCCCCCGATGAGGGGGTTTTACGTCTTTTATACCTTTATTCTGCTGCTCTTGTCTTTTGCACCTACTGAACCATCTCCTTCCTAGGCCTTACCAAAGTCCCTTGGCAAGCTGGCCAAGCTGACGAACCTGAATGTGGATCGGAACCGGCTAACGTCCCTTCCAGCTGAGATTGGAGGCTGTGCCAATCTGAACGTGCTGTCCTTGCGAGACAATCGCCTGGCCCTCCTGCCGCCAGAGCTCGCCAACACCACTGAGCTCCACGTCCTGGATGTGGCTGGGAACAGGTCAGCAGCGGGAAGGGTGGACAGGCTCGTAGGCATGTTCCTAAGGAGAACGCTGAGAAGGAGCAGCGTGGGCTGAGCCCTGGCGTGTTTGGGTGACCCGGGATCTGTGCTAATCCCAGGATCCGGGGTTTGGAGAAGCCCGGACTGGTTGCTTTGTGCTCTGGAAAGAGGGCGTGCGTCTCCCAAGCTTTGCCTCTTAAGCCCTTCTCTGTCTTCCTTGAATACAGGGTAGAGCTCATCCAGAAGTGTGGGTGCGTTTTGCCGTGTGCCAGATAAAGATCAGGGGACATCCCTGGTCCGCTGTCTTGGTAGTTTTGTGTTACCAATCCTCAGGTGATTGGTTCCAAAGCCTTGTTTATGATGTGCCCAACCCCACCGTGTGCAAATATCTGTGGTCTGTTCTGAAGGATTCTGCAGATTTTAGCTGCAGTTCTGTTAGCTGAGGCCGGTATTTTTTGTAGCAGATGGAAGCTGACCAGAGCTTCTGTTTGGAACGCCTCTGTGTAGTGGTCCGTGAAAGGATCGTTTTTTGTCTTCAATCTCCTCCTCAAAATTCACCGTTTTCACATTGTTGATGGGAATTGTTCTCTGCTGAAAGCCGATGAGGGTGGGTTACTGGGGTGCGGCGTGTGGCTGTCGCAGAGCCGTACGCGGCACGAGCCAGCTGCTTCAGCGTGGCGAAGAGCGAGGGATCCCCCGGTGGCTTGGCTCTCTCCTTCTCCGGTGCAGGTGAGGCAGTCTGAAGCTGAGTTGAAGTACCTTCGTCACCAAGCAAGTTTAACCGGCAGTCCTTTTCTTTTGCAGACTGCAGAACCTGCCATTTGCTTTGACAAACCTTAACCTGAAAGCCCTGTGGCTGGCAGAAAATCAGTCCCAGCCCATGCTGAAATTCCAAACGGAGAATGATGAAAAGACAGGAGAAAAAGTTCTCACTTGTTACCTGCTTCCCCAGCAGCCCTCTCCTAGCCTAGGTAAGAGACCGCGTTCGGAACGCTCTCTGCAGTACTGTGTACTCTGGAGAGCGCTGTAGGGAAGAGGTCTTGAACCTTCCTCTCTGCTTGGTTGGACTGTTCTTCGTTGCTGCGGCACCTGTAGCAGCCCCAGGCTCCTGAATGGCTGGTGGCAACTTTCCAAGGTAGAGATTGTTAAAACTGAGAAATTGCGTCTCTGCCAGGTGGTAAAGAAGCTGCAGCCGAGTCTTCAAGTATTCTGCTTTGATCTATTGACCGAGTAGTTCGTTGTCTGTAAGGTTTGCTTCCTGTCACGATGATATTCTTGTGTCAGCACTTCTGATTTGTGCCTTAATCCTACCTTTTTCCTTAGTTCTTGACTAAGGAGCGTGAGAGCTGAACCATTTGGGTCCTTTTGTAGACGCCTCTATAGATCTGGCGGGAGACAGAGGTCTCGGAGCCTCCGGAGGCTCTGTCCTTTGTCCTCAAGACCTCTGTGGTTTGATGCTACGGGCAGATACAACAGAAGTGCCCTAACGGGTTGAGAGCTGTCTTTAATCCAAGCCTACAACCCTGCTTGTTCAGGAGGTCGCTCCCACTCTGTTATTTTTCTCCCCAGAGAATCTTTTGCAGAACAGTGTGGATGAGAGCTGGACGGACACCAATTTAAACAGAGTCAGTGTGATTCAGTTCCTGGATGAACCCAAAGTAGATGATGAAGAGGAGTCTGGAGCTGAGAGACGGGTAAGAAGAGAGAGGTTTCTTAGCTCCCTGTGGAAAAAAGTTTAGATTGTGCCTAAGACGGAGAGCCGTTACACCGTTCGTGTTTCACTCTGTAATGCTGCTGCAGACGTGTACTGTGTTTTTGCAGTCCGAAGGGCACTTGGTGCCCCGAGGAGACAAGCAGGTGTAAAAGAGAATTCCCCGAGAGCCTTCGTGCGGATTTACAGTTCGACAGCTGTCCCATGGGAGTCGAGCTGTGGCTGCCAACCTGCCCAGGAGCGTTTGGGTAGTCCAGAGATCCTACTAGAGCAGGGTCAGGACTGGATTTTAGTTGACCCCCCTCGTGGGGAAGGGCTGCACAGCCAAACTCGAGCCAGGCAATCTCCACCCCTCCAAGCGTGGAGCCAGAGGCAAGCCCATGCCGTGGAGTAGCGCGTTACTAAAGTAGCTAAACCCTGTGGACAGACAGCCTCAAAAATGGTCGCGGATCATTTTGCTTTAATTGCAGATGCAAAGGGCAGGACAGAAGTTCCAGTTCTCAGCAAGTACTCCGTTGGTTTAAATCTCCTGCATCATTTTTGTTCCCCTTTTTGTCATGTGCAGAGAGATCCTCTTGAAGAGAGGTCTGAGTCCTTCTAATCAACTGTATATGCATCTGTCCTTGCAGCATGGGTGTGCTGCTGGTGTTTGGGGGTTTTGGGGGGGGGTTCTGATTGTTTTTAACATTGTTAGTAATTTCAGAGTACTGTTTTTCTTGACTCCTAGCTGGGGTGGAACTAGCTAAGCATCACAAATCCCAGTAGCCTACAGGCTTGTCAGACAAATTACGAAACGCCAGAGTGATTAAGAAGATATTCCACCTGTGTGTTCTTTCAGGGGTTTCTGTGTTGACAGTTTTACATTTACTAAGCCTGAAGCGCAATTTAAAACTTCCCCTCTATATAACTCCTCCCAATCCCTCTGTCAGATGGAGAGCGGGATAAGGTCCAGGGGAGCTCTGGGAAGTGTGATCTGCCTCCTTTCCTCTTCCCAGCTGGTGGTGGAGAGGCCCAGATCAGATCCTGCACCGGGACATTAGATCATCTCCGGCCGGGGCTCGAGCGCTCTGATAAAACTGGTCATTTGAAGAGGTTCAGTCTTGGGGCATGGCACGTGCTGCTCTTGACTGTTGAATCTCCTGCTCTGAGTGTTTTTCTTCGGCAGGGCTTACAGCGCAGAGCGACCCCTCATCCCAGTGAACTGAAGGTTATGAAGAAGGTGATTGAAGTTCGGCGCAATGAGGTACATGCTGCAAAGCCCGACACGGACCCGAATTCTCCTAACTCAGAAGTGAGTGCTGTTCGCTAAGAAATGGATAACCATAGAGAACGTACAGCGGACGTGGGGAATGGGGGGGCAGTCTGTGTGAGCTGGGCAGAAAGAACTTACTTTGGGGAAAGATTGAAGGACCGCAGTGTGCATTGCCTGGGTTCCGAGGGTTGGAGTCTGCCTTGTGGTGTCAGCTGCGGCCACGGAGACAGAGTAAGAGATGGAGCCAGAGAACGGCCTAAGGGGAATTGTGTGCGTTGGCACCACTTTTTCGTAACAGAAGGAGAGGAAGAGAAGGCTCTGATTTTCCCAGAGAAGAGCGATGGGAACGGAGTGCTTGGAGGAGGCATCTTGCTGCCCAGGTGTGACACTAAGAATAAATGCCTCCGTAGATGGTGGAACAGGGGGGGACCTAGGTGAGATGGAGCAGGCTTGGCAGGGAAAGCAGCGGGCAGCCTAAGGAAAAAGCTGGTTCTGTTGGTACTGGATCATACCCCACCTCGCAGCAGTCACACTACATTGCTCCATCTGCTGCCTTGGTTTCCATCTTGACTTTTATAATCATCTTCTCAGGAGAAGAGGCTGAGCGCCATGTCAAATCGCAGCGAGGACTCCCACCTTTCCAACAGCACTGCCTCTGCTGACTTTAGGGGAGAGGAGCAGGGAGAGGATGGAGAGAGGAACTGGCCCAATGGGCAGGTGCCTGAGATGCAGGAGCTGGAGAAGGAGGCGAAGCCCAGAGCTGAAGAGGAGCGCAAGGAAGCCGCTGACCAGGAAGAGGAAGATGTGGAAGTGGAATACAATGAGGTAGGAGGCTAGGAACTCCAGCAGGGTCGTGCTAAAAAGTGGAAGGACTTGAAAGTTTCTGAGAAAATGGTAAATGGAGGTGCAGAGTGTGATTTGGGCGTCACTGGAGGCAAACACAGGCCGTGGAAGCCGCGTGCAGGTGGGGATTGAGGCAGCCTGTGGGAGCCGGGTCCATGGGAGACGAGGAAGGACAGTGTGGGAGCCAGACAGGGACTATGGGAAAATCAGGGTTACAGCTTTGAGTGCCCTCAGTCCCTGGAGCTGACAGAAGATGTGTCTGGGTGAAGGGGCTGATACGGAAAAAGGCAAGTATGGTGAAATTTTCATGTGTATTCCTGCATCTTCTTCAGCACAAAAGCGGCAGCGGTGGCTTTGCCTGTGTTGGTGGGGGGGGGACAGCGGGTTTGTGCACTGCCTCCAGACGTGGCTGAAGTTCACAACCTTTCTGGGGCTTTGCCATTGTAGCCCACTGTACACTTTGCTGAGGACACGCTCATACGGAGCGAGGATGAGGATGAAGATGAAGAGCGGCCCTTCCCAGTGGAGAAACAGAGGCTTATCCGCAAGGACACACCCCATTATAAGAAACACTTTAAGATAACCAAACTGCCCAAGCCAGAGGCAGTGGTGGCACTCCTGCAGGGGTTGAACAGTGATGGAGTCCCCAAAGAGGAAGAGGAGTTGGGAGGCTGCAATAACAACACAGAGCACGAGGATCAGGAGGAAACGTGGGATGAGGATGACAGAAAGAATGGAGCTTTGTCTGCTCAGCCATCAGTGAAGGTAAGGTCTTGTGGGCAAGGGGAAGGTCAGAGGGGTGCCAGACCTCCCTTCTGCTACTTTGAACTACCAACCAGGTTGATGTGGTACCAAAAAAACGTTGGCAAGAGACACAAGCGCTTCAGGAGAGACACGCTGAGGGTGGGAGAGCTGAAGTTCGTTCTGGGGCTCATATGATTGTCCAAGAGCTGTGCCATGTTGCTTATGTCTGTCTCCTTGTGCTGTATCCCGATTCTTGCACCCTCCCCGTTATGTGTGATGTTGTGTTCTGTGCTGCGAGAACGGTTCCTTTGTCCCATCACCGACAGGTTCTTCCATTCATTTCAGTCACCACCTTGCTTGCTGGTTGTCGCACCTCATCTGCGGCAGGATGAGCTTTATCCCTGGATGGATCTAATCTCAGGCTTACGTTCAGGCTGCTTACGCTTGTCTTTCTGCCACAGTGCTTCCTGGAGAGGAGTGGGTAGTGAGAGCAGACAGGAGCGTGTCCTTGCGGTTGGTTCCACCCTCTGCCTGCCCCGGTGCAGATGCAGTCTGATGAAGCGTGCGTTGGGATTTAGGCGAACATGTGCTCTGGAGTTTTGCCGTTACCATGGGGCCACGATGGGCCTTTCTGGTCATGCTGAGGGCTGATGAGATAGGAGGTCCTTGGGTCTACTCAGCTGAATCACCATCTTTGGTTAGGGACACCCACAGATTCTTGTTTGAGGAAGATCCTCGCAGTGGAATAGGAGTATACTGATGAAGGACAGCGCACGAGGTTCTTGCTGAAGTTGGTGTGATGATTTTGTGAAGTGTATTTGGCAGGTGGGGATTAAGATGTGGCCGAGTCTCCGTCATAGTCTGACACTGACAAATCTCATGGGTGAGATGTGGGTCTCTGAACTGGTGGAAGATGCTGGAGTAAAATCTGCTCTTGCGGTTACCGCATGCACTCCAGACTCTTGGGGTCGTTTCCACCCCACACTGGAGTTCAGATCGCTTAGGGGAAGGTTCTTGCACTCAAGTTTCCTTTGGAGCCTTTCTCTCAGTGGACACTTGCCTTGCTATATCTGAGCTGCTACAGCTCGTCCGTTGCTCCCTGGGGACGAGGCTTGTCCTTTCCTTCCTGTTTATGAAGGGAGTTGCTGCTGTTTGTAAGAAGAATGTGTGAAGCCATCTTGAGCCCCCTTCATCCAACACCTGCCATACTTGGGAAATGCCCTCACCCAGAAAGCTTCTTTTAGCCAGGGACTCAAAGCTGAGGATGCACTGACGCATTGATAAAACCTGTAAAGTCTCCGTAGGCGTTGAGACCACAGGTTTGGTGTACCTCTCGGAAAGTTACCGTTGTTATCGGTGAAGCCTTCTGCCTGGAAATCACAGTTTCCCTTTTCGGGGGGCTGGGTTGGATGCCTGCTCCACGAAGGCGGATTTATTAGCTTCCCTCCTGAGCCGTCTCCCCCAAGTGGGAGTGTGGGAAGCGGTGTCCCCGCACAGCGGAGTTTCAAGGAAGAGGTGCTGTATGCGTGTGTTGAAGAAGGAGGTAGGACAGGGTGTGCAGGAGGCTGCATCCTTCAACCAGAGGGGTTTTTTTGCAAAGGCAGTTGGTTTTCAAGAGAAGTTCTAAGGTTTCCTTCATTTGGGAGCAGATCCCTGGGTGTCTGGCAGGACGCGCTGTTCCACTGGAGGCTCTTCCCTTTGCAGGAAGGACCAATGCAGTTTGATTTGGGATCGCTTCATTCCTGTGCAGCAGCTGGGTGGCACCAGAGGTCCCTTTGTGCTTTTCTCCTGTGTTGTTTAATCCTTCCTTCACTGAACAACCGGTTCGGAGGGGGTACAATCAGCTAATAGCGTTCAGCTTGTGAGCTTGGTGGTCACAGCCTCGGAGTGCCACCACAGACAAAATACGGCCTTAAAGATGCAGGTTCCAGTTTAGCTGGGCCAAAGAGGGCTGGCACTCCGCATGTTGTGAGCCCCGGGAGCAGCGCTGTCGCTGGTACTCGCTGGTAGGTGGTAATCAGGAGTGGTGCGAGTGGGGTCTGCTCCGGTGCGGTGTGGCCAGACCTGTCAGAGTGGTGTGCGTTTGCGTGTTGGGTGGTGGTGGTAGTGGTGGTGGGTTTGGTTTATGCTCCACTAATCCGCATGCCTCTTTGCTGGTTCCTGTCCTAACAGGGGGTGTCGTTTGATCAAGCCAATAATCTGCTGATTGAACCTGCTCGCATTGAGGAGGAAGAGGTCTGTACCACTCCTACTGTTCTCTCTCTGCCAAAAATCATTCAGTCTGCTTGATTTGCTTCCCAGGCTCACCCGTTGTTGTAGGGGAAACTGATCTCTCTGGGTCAAGTGGCTTCTGGACCTGACTGATCACAAACACACAATGATTGTTTCCTCCCCTGCTTTCACCTCCTTTCCCTA